GAGGGCGCTCAGTGGGTGCAGGAACAAACTCTGGAACGGCGAACCCCGAGGCCCCGCCACGCCTGGAGCTCAGCGTCCCAGGCCTTGGAGGGTCTCGGAGGGCACACGGGGCCGTGCTGGGCCTTCGGAAAAGGCGCAGGGCCGGGGGCAGGTGGCGGTGCTGGCAGCAGCGCTGCGTCCCCTGCCAGCTCCACGGCGCCCGGGGACTGGCCAAGTCTGAAAGGCCGGGCTGGGCCGGGCGTGGCTCCCACCGTCTCAGGGTCCGTTTTATGTTTAGGTAGGAGGAGGGGTTGTGTGAACAGTAGGTGGGAGTGAGGACCACGCCTGAAATCCCAGCCGGCCCTTAGGGGTCTGCCAGCAGGAGCCCCTCAAGGACAGGGCCCCTCCTGAGCCAGCCTCTCCCTGGGCCTGGCTTATGGTTAGTGCTCGTGTTTACGGGTGAGCAAAGGGCCTAGGGATGAATGCAGAGACAGCACAGAGGACCTCAGTCGCCCCTCCTCCAAGCCTGGGAGGTGGTTCTCAGCCCTCAGAAACCAAAGGCCCCTCGCGGAGGATGTTGACAGGATAAGAGGGCTTGTCCCAGATGCTGTGTCCTCACATGACCCTGAATTCCACCCCACCCGAGAGGAGGCTGAGGTGCGGAGCCCTTGGCTGTGACTCAGCGGAAGGAGGACAGGAAGGGGAGGGCGACGTTGCTGGGGCCCTAGGGCTTTGCTTCTCATTTCTCTTTCCAAAGCAAAGCGAGTTCCCAGAAACAGAGGCACTAGAACTACAGAAAGCCCAGGCCTTTAGGGGCACGGGCTTCCCTGGCCCTCCTGCCCCCGGAGGCGCCATCAAAGGCCCCAGGGAAGCCCCTAGTCCCTGTCCTCTGCATGGGGGCTTCTTCCGTGCCCCAGGACCAGGGACTGAGTACCTAGAAGGCCCACCCCAGAGCCACGATGGGGTGGTGGACTCTTGAGGCTTTCCAGGAGCATGTGGCCCAGACTCACGTGCTGGGACAGTCCCCTGGGTGAGAGGAGGCGTGGGGAGCCTCCAGCATGGGGAGGGGTGGGGCAGGCAGGGCAGGCTTCCTGGGAGTGGCAGAGGCTGCCTGTACCAAGAACCCGAGGGATACAAACATGGGCGCATGCAATATTTCTCTGTGAAATATCGCCATACCCCAATATTTGGGGGCAAACATGGACGCACGCTCTCTCTCCCTGTGAAATATGACCGTACCCCAAGGTTTTACTGGGTGAAAGTCCAGGTGTGGGCGGGGCTGCATTCCTCCCCAAGGCTCTGGGGAGCGTCCCTTTCCGCATCTCTTCCGGCCCCTGGAGGTCGCCTGCGTCCCTCAGCCCACTCCCTCTGACATCTCAGCCTCCCTCTCATAAGGACCTTGGGGTCACGCCGAGCCCACCTAAATGACCAAGGGCAATCTCCCTGTCTCAAGACCCTGCTGCCTTATAAAGACAGTCCCAGGTTTGGGAAATGAGAATGCGGGCGTCTTTGGGGCCATTATCCTTCCCACCGCAGGAGCGACAGGATTGCTTTGCCAGTCCCAAGGCCCCTCCACAGGGCTTGTTCAGGGCTGAGGGGTCACCGGGGGTGATCAGGCCACAATTCTGGCTGACGCGACGCTGGCTGGGGGCTGGCTGGAGGCTGGTTGGGGCCCGGAGCTCCAGGAAACCTTGCGCCTGCCCCTGCTGTCGCCAAGGACGGCCTGTACTCCTGGCGAGGCCACCGTGCCGAGATCAGGTGCACTTGATCCCTGGAAGTGGCCATGGCTCAACTCGAGCAGCTGCTCGGCTCTGGGGGAGGCCAGGCCCGCGTGGCTTCCTCTCCCTGCTGACCAGAACATGCCCGAGCTGCTGTCAGGTCAGATGGGAGCCACGTGGAAAGTTCCAGCTGCGCTCTAGAAAACGCACACACTCTAGCTTATTAGTGGACGTTGACGGAGCTTGGGTTATATCAGGGCCGCGGAGCGCCTCAGAGAGATGAGGAGACAGACAGGTTTCCAGGTGCAAGGGACAGGATGTCACTGATGCCAGCCGACGTTTGGGCGAGGGGCTGGCGGGGGGGTCAAAGAAGTCAGGACGGATGCTCCAGAGGAGGTAGCTGGTGAGGGAGCTCGAAGGAGAAGGCGATTCCAATGGCCGCGGTGGGCAAGGGTGCCAGCTGGGCCGAGGAAGGGGGCGTGGCTAGGAGGCGCCGAAGCTCCGCAGGGCAGCCGGAGGCCAGGGCAGTGGAGCAAAGAGCCCACGGGTGGACAGGGATGCACACGTGGCCTGCAGATGCTGAGCCGCCCTCCGGCCTGGCAGCAGGGGGCGCTTGTTCCGCTGGAGGCTCACTCTGAGCACCGAGGGCCCCTGGCAGGGGCCCCAGGCCCTTCCCACAGAGGTCTTCCTCTACCTCTTCAGAACTGGGCTCCACGGGACATCGACACCACACATGGGGACCCGGCCACGGGTTTAGGACAGGGGTTGGGAAGTTAAAGGCCCAGAGCGGGATGGGGGAGAGCAGGAAAGGGTTGGGGGCACATGTCAACAAAGCAGCTGGATGTGCCCGGTGGAGAAACCCACGGGCAGCTGGGAACAGCATCTGACTGTGAGGCAAAGTCTCTACTCCCTCAGCTGTCAGGAGCGAGGATGGAATTGCTCTCCCAGAGCGCGTCCGTCAAACCCCTGCCCCTCTCCCACGCCCAGCTCCAGCGGAAGGAGCCTTGGGGGGCAGCAGGTCTCTCAGAACCTCTAGGGCCTAGGCTCCACCATCAGCCCCACGTCCTCCAGCTGTTCTGCCTCCGGGGCTCCGGGACACATGCTGAGGGAGGCAGCTCATCTCCGGTTCTGGCCCCAGGAAGGAGGAAGGAGGTGACCTTGGCCTTCCCAGGGCTGGAGCCACTGGCTGCCCTGGCCTGGACCTCAGGGCACTCAGGCCCCGGTGGCGGGGGAGGGGAGGGGCTGGGGGAGACGTGGCTGCCAGGCTACCAGCCTCTGGTGGCTCCATCCCTGGAGGGCAGAAGAGGAGTCAAGAGCCCAAGACTGAAATCCCCGCCTCCTTTTGCTTACAGACTTCCTCGTCTCTGCCTGCCAGACAGTTGCCCAATGCTACCTGACCCTACCCGTCTGCCCTCCAGGGCAGGCACTGAAAACACGACGCCCCGTGGCAGGTGCATCCCACAGGTTCCCATGGCCATCCTGTAAGATAAAGCACTTGTCCCATTTCTCAGGGCTGGAAGCCAGGTCTGACGGTGTGGAAGCCAAGGTCACATCCTGGTGACGGGCAAATGCCAGGATCTGCACCCAGGCTGCTCTGGCTCCAGCACAGGAGCTCAGTGTCCAAGGTCCCATTAAGCCATTGCTTGAAGGCTTGAGGCCCGACCCTGCCTGTCCACTTGGCCTGGACTTCTTTCCCAGGGGAGCGGAGCTGCTTTTTCTCGGAAGGATGTTGTCCCCAAGGGTGGCTCCTGTCTCAGTAACCCCAGCTGCCCTACACTGTCACTCTCTGTCATTATGCTCCTTTGGGGGGCCCTGCCCACCCGCTGAGAAGGCCGTCCCTCAGTGACGGGCCTGAGCGGGGAGGGCGAGAGCGTCAGGGAAGCCGGCACTGGCCGAGGTGCGGCCCAGGCTGTGGGACAAGGGGACACCAGGCTGCTGGTTAGGGATGCTGCCCAGAGATGCCGCTGGGGACAGCAAGAGCCAAGGGCACAGGCAGCAGGAGAGGAAAGGCAGCTCTGGTGAGGACCCCGCAGGTAAAGGTCGGGGAGCACAGGGGCTCAGAAAGTTGAAGCCCTGCCCCTCCCACCCCCGCTCTCCCAGGTTTCTCCTGGAACAGCCGTGAGGTGCAGTCCCTGGCGCAGCCGGGCAAGACACAGATACCAGGGCCCTGGGGGCTGTAGTGTGACCTCTGCCAAGGCAAAAGGGACACCCAGCCACAGCAGGGAAGTTGCTCAAACCAGGTAGGACCCCCGCATACAGACTCCCCAAAGAGAGGGACCTAGTGTCCCGTCTCCACTTCACCACCTTCCACCATAGGACCTCAAGCGGCCACATCTCCTCTTGGGAAGTCCCTGCCCTGGGACTGGGCACTCAGATGCCAGCTACACACTCGCCTAGCTGACAGAGTGAAATGAGGCTGCCCCCAAGCTCTGGCCCTGGGACCCGCTGCCCAAGGTCCCACTGCAAGATGTAATCCCGCAACCGACATCTGGGCTCCCGCAGAGAGCGTTACCCACTGAGCAGCACTGCCTCTGGCCCCTGCACTACGGGCCAGGCCCTTACGACTCCCGGGAGGGAGGGGGAGCCTGGCAGAATGCGCCCGCCTGGTCTGCCACGGCCCTCTGAGCCCGCCCTGAGACAGGCGCACACCTGCACCCTGGAGGTTTCCTGTCGCTGTGCACAGAAGGGCAAGGTCTTCAGGCTTCCTGGCCTCCTGGCGGCCACGGGCCTGCACAGACCAGAGCCGGGGTGGAGGTCACACTCGTGCCGCTCTGTCTCAGCTTCTCACTCTCTCTGGCCACAGCCAGGGACAAGTGGTTAGCTGCAACCCACTCGCCACCCACTTAGCTAAAACTAAAGGGATAAAAAGTAGCACAAGCCCTGCGCACCCGACACTGGCTCAAGCCCTCAGCTAAATGAATGTGGACTCGGGACCCCAAACTGTGCTGCAAGGACCTCAGCTCCGCCCCCCCCCCCCCCCCCCCCCCGCCCAAGAGGCAGGCAGCCATCTGCCAGCTGAAGTAAGACGAGGTTCCTGTGCTCGGAGCCTAGGCCCAGCCTGCAGGGAAGTGTGAGGGAGGGCACCCGCGGCGGTGGGGGGCTGAGCCAACCCTTGGGAGAGGTCGCTCAGTGCCAAGCCCCTGGAGTCCAAGGCCAGGGGCCCCCGTGTGCCTCCCTCCACACTGCTCCGCCACGCCACGTTACTGGGCAGAAGGACGCTCTCACCCCCAGCACCGCCGGGGGCTAGAGGTCAGAGGGCCTACCAATCACAGTGACAAAACCGACACCACCATTTGTTGGTCTCCTGACACTTTATTTTTGTTTCTCTATTTTTTTATCCTCACCCAAGGACATGCTTATTGATTTTAGAGGGAGGGGAAGGGAAGGAGAGAGGGAGAGAAACACAGATGTGAGAGAAACGTTGATCAGTTGTCTCTCACAGGCCCGACTGGGGACGGAACCCACAACCTTTTGGTGCATGGGACTACGCTCTAACCAGCTGAGCCACACCAGCCAGGGCCAGTCTCTTGACACTTTATTGGCCACATCTCCGAACGAACATCCCCAGAGCTGCTCCACCCAGAGAGACGCTGAGCAGCCTGCACTGGCCACGCTGGTGTGACAGAGCCAGACGGGGAACCCGGGTCTGCTCAGCTCCTGAGCTGGACTGTGGATGCCCTTGCTCTTTGCTGCCCCAGGAAGGACACCCTGCAATACTTCCTTCCCCCCAGCCTCCCAGAAACGTAAAGCAGGGGAATCCCAGGGTCATGGGAAATGCCCCAAGCGTCCAGGGCTCTGAAAGGCCCCACCCCCCTCTCTCCAAGGAACATTCCGGGAAGAAGTGTCATCCAGGCACTCTGGCGGGCTGGGGCCCTGGCCAGGCACCCACAGGACAGCCACCCGGGGACCCGGACCTCCGGATGTGCAGGAACCGGGGCCTGAGGAGACAGGAACAAAGGGCCAGTGATTGCCTGGGCCCAGAGGGTGAGCGGGGATTGGGAGGAGCACGCTCTCCCCACAGCCAGAGCTGTGACAGGCAGCGGAAGGGCCAGTGTGGCTGAGGGCTGGGGGAGGGGAGGCTCTCACCTCCCGCAGAAGTCCCTGCGCACAGCCACAAGGTCAAGGGACAGGTCGGGCCGGCCCTGAAGCCAGCTGCCGACCAGCTCTGGGTGTCTTGGGTCCACTTCTAAGAAGATGCTTCTGCACAGGGGAGAAATGGACCAGCTCAACTATGCAGGGCCAGCACCTGCGCTTTGGGTTGCCGGGGCTCGGGAGTGGGGGGCAGAATGACAACCAGGGCGGGCCCAGGACACCTGGGGCGGGGGTGAGGCTGCTGGAGACTGGCTGAGGGGACCCGCCCCATCCGCACCCAGAGTCCTTCAGGAGCCGAGGGGCCAGCGCCAGGATGTGTACAATGATGTCCATGCCCTTCTCTCTGCCGTCCAGGGCTGCTGGGTCTTCATAGCTGAAGGGGAAGCAGTGGGAGGCGAGAGCCCCGGACAGGCGGTGTCCAAAGAGTGTGGAGAGCTGAGCAGAGCCTCCACAAAGCGGGCCCTGTGCACTTACTCTGACTGAGAATCGGAGGACTCCGAGGAGGGGCCCCCAAATGGCCGCAGCTCCAACTCCCCTGTGTCCTGCAAGCAGCACGCACCAGGCAGCGCCGCGTGTGCCCAGTGAAGCCCATCGCCTGACAGCTCCCAGGGCGCGGGTGGCTGTCTCCCCACACGAGGCTGTTCCTGGTCTTGGTCTGGGAGGCCTGGAGCTGGCCCTGGCCACCCTCGGGAGCCCAGGAAGCGGAGCCGGCGCCCTCCTCCACACTGCCCTGCCTCGTCTGGGGCTCTGTGCAGCCCCGAGTTCTCAGCCCATTTGAGAGCGGGATGGCTCAACGCAAATCCTGGAGTAGAGCCTTGGTCCCAGCTTTCCTACAAAGCCCCCACATGGCCTCGGACAAGGCACCTGCTGTCTCTGGGCCTCAGTTTTCTGTAAAATGACAAACCCATCTGCGCACCTCATATGTGTTCTGCCCCGTGTCTGATATTCTGCCCTGTGCCGTTGCTGAGTCCTCCCATGGCCCTGCAAAGCTCGACCGCCCCGGTTCAGAGGCAGGAAACCAAGGCCCGGAGAGGCGCGGTGGTCGTCCAGCAGTCTTAACTGGGAAGGCAGAAGCTAAACCCAGGCAGGCCTGCGGGCTCTCGGGTGAGCCCTCTTCCAGCACCAGCCCGCTTTCAGCCCCTGCCCCTCCGTCCCTCCCGACGGTGTGGTCCGCCTGGGCAGACCCACCCCACCCGGTACCTGCGGATCTCAGGGGCCAGCTGCTCCATGTCCTGGTGGAAGACGTAGGGAGGGTTGCTGACGATCAGGTCCACAGGGCCCCAGGGCAGAAGGTGTGCCCAGCTCCCCTCTGTGGTCCCCGGGAACACACAGCAGAGAAGGGGGGTGGAGTGGTAGCTCTGCCCACCACCATGTCCCTCTCCTCAAGCCACACCTGGGGCCTACCCCTGGACCTGATAAGCCAGACCTGCAGATCAGGGCCCAGGGACCCCAGCCAGCCGCCTAGACACTCGGGAAAGAGCGTGGCCCAGCCGTGCTATGTCTGGGCAAGGCGGGGCGGAGGGGTGCTCAAGGGGGGCTTTCTCTTAACATCCTGCTTAACTCTTGACAACAGGGGAGCCCCAGGTAACTCATTAGTTGTGAGGGATTTGGAAGATAAGAAAAACTCTGGGGCTGGTCCCCTCGTGGGCCAGGTCAGCCCAGGAGGCCAGAGGGACTTTCCTGTCCTTAGCAAGGACTGGTCTGAGATACCCCTTGTGCATGCGAGGTCATGCATGTATGCATGCACATGTGTGCATGCGAGGTCATGCATGTATGCGTGCACATGTGTACATGCATGTGTATGTGGGGGGATAAATGTTGAGCACCCCTCCCTCCAGCTCTGCAGAGTGGCTTGCCCACCCGGAAGCACCTGTCCCCAGCGTCCCCACCCCAGGGCAGATGGGTGGGTAGGTACCTAAGGTCACATCGAGGGGGATGATCTGAATCCTGTCCTGCAGATGAAGCCTGGAGAGATGGGAAGGGAGGTAAGCAGGGGGACAGATGCCTACCTTGGCTGCAAGGACTGGGAAGGCCCACCCTTCGTGGGCTGCAAGACGCCTGGTGTGCACCATCCACTCATAACGCGGTGTGAGCCACGCCAAGCCCAGTGCCTCACCCTTCTTCGGAGTGGACATCAGTGGGTTTGTTACCTGAACAGGGGCTGAGATCAGGCCCAAGTCCGACTCCCCCCGCCCCGACCCCCTGGTCCGCCAACCCACCTACCTCTGAGCATTCTCGCGGGTCAGGCAGACGGCGGCTTCTCCCTTGTCCACAGCAATGACCCGGCTCTGCTCCGAGAACGCATGAAGGGTACATGGGAGGAAGGTGCCGGAGAGGCCAGGCCTGGGGACCAGAGCCCTCCACCAACTGCCGGCCAGGAAAGGAGGGGAATACCCACATCTTTTCCCTCTCTGTGGGCCGGGGTCTGGCCAGACAGAAGAGGGTGGGGGTAGAGGCTGTGACCACAGTGGGCTGGACACAGACCGGTCCCCCTACATCCAGCAGAGACAGCTAGAAGCACTTGAGGGGTAGAGCCAGGGAGCCCCAGTCAGCACCCCCAGAACAGGGTGGAGGGATGCGGAGGGCGCTCACCTGGGGCAGCTGATGAAGCAGGCTGAGGGAGATGGCCCCCGATCCACAGCCCACCTCCAGGATGAGGGGGCCTCCTTGGGCTTCCCCCGCACTGGGCCTCTGGGCCGCTTCCTCCAGCACCCAGCCCACCAGCTCCTGGGGGGCAGAGGACCGGGTCAGCGCTGGTGCTGACCTGGCCCCTGGGGCTCTGGGCAGAGAGACCCCAGCCTCCACGTGGATGCGGGAGGGGGCGTGGCTAAAGCCACTGAACGTCCGGTCTGCTGGGACCACGGGCAGGTCGCCCTGCCTCCCTGTCTATAAACTTGAGCACAGTGGAGGGTAACCCACCTCATCAGGGTGTGGGGTGGAGTAAGCCAAACGACATCCGTGAACTATACATATTGGTACATGGCTGATGACCACGGTACGTGGGAAGCGTTCAATAATCCCCAGCTCGAAGCAACGCTAAGAACCATTCTTGTTGGTCCCTGGTTACTCCCTCTGTGCCCGGCTCTGCTTCCAGAACCTTCCCTATGTTAACCTGTCAGGTCCTCACAACCAGTCCACGAGGAGGAAACTCAGGCCCAGGGACGAGATCTCGCCTCAAGCCTGGCTTGCAGCTCACGGTGGCCAACTATCAAGGGCCGGGATGTCCCCAGCTTCCTCACAGAGCTGAGCTTAGGGGCCCCCAAGGAGGCTTCCAGGCCCACGGGACAGGGCATTCCCTCTGCGGGGGCGAGGCAAGTGGGCGGGGTGAGAACACAGCCCTGCCTGAACCCCACCCACTTTAGTGGCAGGGAGACGCTTTTAGACACGGCACTTAGGAAACAGCAGGGTTCCAAGCCTCGCCCACCCACCTGCCACCCGCAGGGACAGTGCACAGCAGCCCAGGGAGGGTGGAGGCTGCTGCTGTCCAAGGCCAAGTGTTTCCAGCCAGCATTGGAGTGGGGGCCCTGGCGTGGCCCCTTCCCAAAGGCATCCCTTTGAACGAGGGACGCGGGGCTCTCAGGCAGCCTGGCTCAGGGAACGGCACCCGTGGGGGTACTTCCCTCCTCTGACCAAACGTCCCCTCCTCCAGGAAGACCCACTCAGCCCCGCCAGGCCCTCTCCACCGCGGCGATCCCACTGGGAGCCCGAAGTCTAGACGGGGTCTGCTGTTCCCACCAGCAGGGCTTGGCCCATGGAGGGGCCTCCTGGCCACTTCCCAAGGGCGGGACAAACGCTCCGAGGCCGTGGGAAGCTGCGCTCTGAGTCCCAGACCCTGGGTGCCCCCATCTCCCCATGTCAGCAGTCAGGCCCTACCCTCCGCAGAAGCCCCTCCGTGCTGAGTCCCAAAAAGCACTTCTTCCTGCTGCGTGCCCCGACCCCAGGAGGAAAGCTCACTTGTCCCCAGGGTAGCCAGTCCAAGGCAGGCAGGACTTGGCCAGCGGGCCCCGCCTTTCCTGCTCCAAGCCCCTTCCGCACCGGGCGAGCAGCTGCTCGCAGGTGAGGCAGCCTGGCTCCAGCCAGAGGGCTTCCCCCGCTCGCAACCACTGGCCCTGCACCCAGCACTCCTGGAGGCTTGGGGCGCTGGCAGCAAGCCGGGCCCCCAGGGCTGGGGCTGGCTCTGTGCCGAGAGCCTACGGTCCCAGCGGTGAGGCCGCTTACGGAGCAGCTGGTCGAACGGCTGAGACGTGTCAGGGCTGCGAGCTTCTCTCGGTTTCCTGGCCACAGACAGACCTCCTCTGGCTGGAGAATGACCCCTCAGCCAACCACAGCAGCCAGCTACCTGCTAGACACCCCCAACCTCAGACACACACCACATCTGCGAGGGGCCACCCTGGGCAGGGTGTGAGGCTGAGAGATGGCGTCCCTGCTGCCACCAGTGCCCCCGTGCCTCTCTCCTACACTCCAGACCACAGGAGGGTCACCTTGGCTGTGGACCACCAGGGGGTGGAGACCACTCCTAAGAAGTCCGGAAATTCTCCCTTCCTCCCCCAGTCAAGAGCCCCCCTCAGGGTGAAGCTGGTGGCTCCATAGAGGAGGCTGGAAGCCAAGCCGGTCACAGGCCCAAGGCAACTTTTCCAGGTGAATAAGGGAACAGTCAAGGGCAGAGTGGGGTGAGGGCAGAGGGGCCGCACGGGAAGGACACAGGGAGCAGGCAGCTGTCGGCTCTGCCCGGAGACTCCACCCCCGTCGGGAGGATGGCCCCAGGCTGCAGCGGGACTCGAGCGCCACATGCACCCTCTGCTAGGATCATGTCCCTGGCGGGGCATCCCCAGGACAGTGGCATTGCCTCCCTCAAGTCAATCACAGACGAGACGCTGAGCCTTCCACACCCCACAGAGCCTCCGCCCCAGCTGGTGGGAACACACCCACCTCCCGCCTCGGGTTTCCACTGTACACGCTATGGGCCGGATCTGAGCCACCTGCCCAGCCCCAGAGAAAGCCCAGCTTGTCCGGCCGCACACCTGCGACTTCACGCTTCGGGCTTCTGCTCCCTCATCAGAAACCACCCTCCAGGGGATGGAGAGTCCAAGCACCATGCTCCCTCCATGCACCCACCCTCCTCTCTCTCTGCCACAGGCCACGTCCTCTCAAGTTCTTGGTAATGTGCCCCCAATGTGGCTTCGCATGGGGGTGAACCTGGCAAGTTCTGAGAAACATCTGCACAGCGAGGCGAGCACTGGGGCTCCGAGCCGCAGCACACCCCTCCCCGCCAAACCCCTGCTGCAGCAGAACCACTGTCCTGGCCCAGCCCCAGCCAGGAAAGGGGGGCCCACATGGGAGCCGGAAGTCTCCTCAGGGCCCTGGGATACATGGCTGATGCCAGGTCAGCTCTCAGATGACTCAGAGGTCATCACGGCAGCTTCCCTCCCTCATCCTGACCCTTGACAGCTTCAGGGAACAGTGACTGGCCTCCTAGCCAGAGGTCACACGCTTGGGGGAGCCACAGGGTGACCTCCGAAAAGCCTGCAGGTGGGAGGCCACATCCGACTCAGGGCTCTGGGCCTCAGCACCTCTTCTCAGCTCAGCCAATCCCAGGTGGGGAGGTCCCAGGTGACACATGGGGCCCTGACCCAGGAGTCAGGTGTCGGAGCGCTGCTCCCATGCCACACCTTCTGCCCTGCACCCCATTTCCCACTCCACGGTCCCTCAGCAGCCCTGCGACTTCAGCAAGGTCTTGGACTCCCTACCATCCCCGCCCTGACACCGGGCAGGGGGCGAGGACCTGGCCTTGCCGCCGCGTGATGCAGGGGTGGGCGGAGGGAGAGGGTTCCCTGGTTTGGGGAGAGAGGCTGGGAAGTGAGGAGGGGCTCTGGGTCCCTGGCTGGGCAGGGGGACAAGGCCTGATCTTTCCCGAGAATGTTTGTGGGCCTGGGTGTCCCTTCCTCAGAACCTGGGGCCCTTTGGCTTACCCACTGGCCGCACCAGCCCCGGCCCCAGCTCTGCCCTGGCTCCCAGCTCTGCCACCTACACGGTTGGAGGAAAGTCCAGGAAGGACCATAGATAGCATCTCTCCCAGGACGAGGGTGCATCGCTAAGGGACAGCCTGCCGGGGCCATACCCTCCCCAGTCCTAGCACCTTGAGGGACAGAGGTGATCACCTCACCAGATAGTAGATACAGAAGGACCACCAAGTCACAGGTTCCCTGGTCTGGAGGCCCAACCCTGCCATCCTCTGGGCCCAGTGAGGGCAGCGGCCTGCCTGAGGCCACACAACGGCACCAGCCACATGCCCTGCCCACTTCGGCTATGCCCCCTGAGGAGGAGGAGGTTTGTTTCCTCTGGGTTAGGTAGGCCATGGGACAACTCCTGGGGAAATGACAGGCACAGGCTACGTCCTTGGTAGACAGCATTAGTTGGGGTACCCTGAACCACTGCCAGCCCCGGGGACTGGGGCGGTGGCTTGGGATATGAGGACAGTCGAGGAGGCCAGCAGGAGACCTCGGTCCCTGTGGCTTCACCTACCCCACCAGCCAGGATACACTGGTTTGGAAGGGCACTGCCTCCAAGGACAGCAGTCATAGGGCCCCAGCGCCCCCTGGAGGGAGTCTGGGGCAAGACATGTGTCCTGACCGCCTCCCTCACACCCATCCTGCGGCCCTGGTGGCCTGCACCTACCTCTGTTTCTGGCCGAGGGATGAACACTGGGGGTGCCATCTTCAGGTTGAGCCCCTGAAAGTCCCACTCCCCGAGGATATACTGCACAGGCACCCTGCAGAGGGGTGGCTAGGTGATTATCAGCGCCAAAGCCTGGGCCCAGAGGACCATGCCTGGGCTGAGAGGTAAGACTTGTGGCCGAAAGTGTAAGGTGGGGTCATGTCTCCTGTGCCCTGGGACTCCTAGCCAAGGTCTCCCTTCCCTCCCTATCTTCTTCCAATTTGTCACCCTGACCCCTCACCTCTCCCCCGCATCCCAGCACCTCCCTAGTCCTTGGACAGCTTCCTCCTCCCTGATCATGAACTTGGTGGGGCTCGGGGAAGCTGAACCCCTGCTCCTCACAGAACCCTCCGGTCCGACTCATGGGTGCTCACCTTTGCAGTCGGCGGCTACTCAGTTCCTGGATGCACTGTAGCTGCCCAGGGGTCAGGGGCTGCCTCCGAAGTGCCGGCCTCAGGCTCTGAAACTGCCCCGCAGAGGCTGTGAGTGACTGGTTCCCCTGGTCCAGAGGCCCTGACCCAGATTTCTCATGTGAACAATGCCTGTGGGGTCAACACTGGCCACCTTGGTCATCTATGAACCCCTGGCCTGGCACACATTGTAATAGTTTGCAGGATGAGTGGATAAGTATTTGCCTAAGGCATTCACCCAGGAAAAACAACAGTCTCAGGTCAGCGCTCTCAGTGGGGCGGAAAAGGCTGGAAGTCTCTTCCCCAAGGTCCTTCCTCCCACCTCTTCCTCCAGGCCCTCTGACCACCCCCACCCCCCCCCAACCCCCCGCAACAACACTGTACTTAACTGTTTTGGCTCCGAGGACATGAGCCATGATGTACTCACTGGATTCCCGGGCCTCAGGGATGCCCCTCTTCTCAAAGACTGCTGTCCACTCCTGGACCAGCTCCGTGGCACTCAGCAACCCAGCCTGAGGCAGACGGCATCGCCAGGAGCGGAAGGCCCAGCCCCGAGTTCCTCCCCTCCGCCCCAGGCCAGACAGGAGGACCCGCAGCATTCCACCCTAAAGCTCCAAGTCACAGAGGAAAGCTCCCCTGCACGCTCCCAGGCCCCCAAGTCTTCCTTGTGACGTCAGCTGCTGAGACGGTCACGGGCCCCGGCCAGGCGGAGACGGAGGTCACAGACTCTGGCTCCTCACAGTGGCTCTGGTCTTCAGACGTGCTGCCACCCTGGCAGAGGGAAGGAGAACCAGGACAGCGCTGAGCCTGCGTGACCCACTGCCTGCTGCCTGCTGCCGGGGAGAGGGCACACCCTTGCTCTGTCGCCTTCCGGACTCCATTTCAGGCCCTCGCCCCCCTGTTTGCTTGAGGTTTCCTTCGTGTTTTTGGCTGAAGTGAGCTGAACCCGTAGCGCAGCCCCTGCTAATAAATGGGCTGCTGGTGGGTCAGAGCCCAGGCTTGGGGTTGGACAATCCGTTTGACCCAGAGTGTGTGACCTTGGGAAACTCATTATTTCTGAGTCTCAGTTTCTTTGTCTATAAAATGGGGGAAATAACACCAATTTTATGGCAAGCAGTGCACTAGTTCATGAATGTCAAGGGCCTGGGAGCCGGCTCAAGACAGGAGGGACTCAATGTTATATGCTCTTAATATTACAAGGGGGAGGAGGCTGCCTTTGGTTGGAGGTTTTGCTCTTGATATTTTGCCTGACTGGGATGCTGAAATGCCACCCCACCCCACCCCCACTTTAACTCACATTCCTAAATGTCAGCATAAACTGCCAGCTAAAATACTGCCAATTTTTTATTTTTATATTTAAGTTTTACTGAAGGTCTTTAATCAGTGGTCCCCTTTCCTTTCACACAGACCAAGGTCCAAACAAGCGTTTATTGAGTCCCTGGTAGGTGCCACATCTTCCGAGACGAGGAGGGAGGGCAAGGGGCTCCGGGAGGGGGAGCGTCTTGCCCAAAGTCACGCAGCTAGGAGCTGGCTGTCCCAGGCAAGACAAACGAGCCCAGGTCGCCCGGACTCCAGAGGAGCCGCGGTCCGCCTGAGCGCCGCGAAGGCCTGAGGTCAGGGCTCAGCCTCCCTCTCAGGCCAGCACCGCAACGTCACTGACCCAGGCAAGGTCGCCTGTCCCCAGGCCCATTTCCCGCTGTGCGCCGCGGGGGACTGCGCGGAGCAAGGGGTGGTGTCCCGAAGGTGTTGCGGCCCAGGCAGCGCCCCAACCCGATCCCCACCTCTGGCGCATACCTGCCTGAGGGGCAACCCGACCCGCCCGCCCGCCTCGAGAAAAGGCCCTGGGCCCGGCTCCCGGACGTGCGTGGCCCGCGGTGAGCTCCCTCGGACGCCCTGCTTCCGGGGTTGGCGCAGCTGAGAAAGGGCTCGGGCGAACCCCAAAGCCCAGCTCCAGGGTTCCTAACGCCACTGAGTGGCACCCGAGAGTCGCTTGGGGGCGCTGGGAGAGGCTGCGAACGCCGCCGCCGCCCCCGCCCCGCACGCCGGCCCGCTGGCGGCAAAGTGCTTGGCTGTGTGCGGGCTTGCTCCCTAGCGGCCCTGATCTTCCTGGCGGCCACGGCAGAAACGCGGCGGCAGCTCGCGGTGACGGCTCCGAGCTGGCGTTAGGGTACCCGGCCCGGGCGGCGCGCCGCCAGGCCGAAAGGAAGCGTGCCACCTGCGGGCCCTGGGTTCGAGAGCGAACGCGAGGCCCAGGGGCGCGGTCCAGCACGCGCGCAGTCCCCGGGCTGGGGCGCGTACCAGTCTGGCGGGCGGGATGCTGTGTCCCGGATCTGGCCGGGGGAGTGGCCTGGGCAGGGCGGGGGGCCAGGTGGCGACTGAACCCCAGGGCAGCTCTTGCCCCTCTCACTCCCGCTTTAGGGTTTGGAGCAGGGAACTAGAAACCGGACGTAGGAGACCAGAGTTTGCACCCCGACTCCACTGCCAACTAGTCCGTAAGGCTTTGTCCTGGTGCCTGGTCCTCTATGGGCCCCAGTTGCTCCTATAAAATTCATGGCAGTGCCCCGCGAAGTGTGACCAGACAACGCCCCCTTCCCCCACCAGAATCTACTGCTAACTAGATCACTGTTCACCAAACTACCGTTTAACATGAAGTTTCCCGGGGAGCCGCTGGGATCAGCATGTGTAACAAGCTACTTCGATGATCTCCGTAAACTCCTTTGAAAACCCGAGGACTAGGAGGTATCCGAAGGCCCCTCCCCTGAGCTGAGCTGAGCGGATCGCGCCCTGGAAGGAGGCCATTGTGAGAGGAATGCGGAGGTTGCCTGGGTCGGGGTGCCCAGTAATAATACTCCAAGAATACTGTCCCTCTCCCAACTTCTCTGATGATGCTCCGTTTGGGTGCCGTTTACCAAGAGCCCTCACACCAGAGCCCCTCTGAAGGAATCCGAGACCCAGAGACCCAGAGAGCCAGGGAAGGGAAGCATCTTGCTCCAGGTCACGAAGCCAGAACAGGGTCGAACCGGACAGAGTTCAGCGCAGGCCCAAGGGACTCCCAGTCCAACGCTTTCTCTAAGTCTGCAGCGTCCGCCTGCGTTTAAGGACCTCGAGTCTGTCCTGGCGAAGGTGGAGCCGGGCTGGCCCTGAGCCCGCGCTCTGGCCCCGGAAGGGCCTAGCCACCCACGGTGCCCGCGGGACCCCTGCAGAGGCCACCGGGAGTGAGGAGGGGTGGTGTCCAGGAACTGCCGCCCGGCTCCCGCTGGGGGCGGAGCCGGATCCAAGCGACAGGCGAGCGGGCCAATGTCGGCAGGGCTCTGGGCCTGGCAGCCAATCGGGGCCCGGGGGCGCGGAGCCGGTGGGGAGGAGAGGCGCCGGAGCGCCACGGACCAGCGCGGCTGCTGGCCTCGGCCCCACCCCCGCGGTGGGTCCCGGCCCTGCTCGTCCCGGCCCTGCTCGTCCCGGCCAGGCTGGGAGCGCCGGCGCTCGCGGCTTCGAGCGGTGCGGCGGCGCGGGCCCAGCCTGGGCTTGGAGAGGACAGGCAGGGCGGACCTCGGGTCGGACCCGCCGCCCCTCACCCTGGGCCTGGGGCTTCCCCCCCGGCCCGGTTCTCGTGTCGCCACCACCCCTGGCCTCTCCCGCGAGCTCGGCGTCCCGGAGAGGATTAAGTAAGTGCTGAGGTCGCGAGGGCGGGGATGGTGGTTGGGTCAGGCAGGACTGAGGAACCCGGTGGAGAACGGAGCGCGGGTTCTCAGAGGGAGGTCGCGGGGCCGACCCCTTCCATCCCGATGTCCTCCTCTTGCGCTTTCAACCCTGAGGCAGCCCCAGACAGGGATGAGCAGGGCCGTCTCTCTCCTTTGGACACGGAAATAAAAGTGCCCCTGAAAGAGTTAAGGGTCTGGCCCAAGGTCACTCCTGGGGTCAGCGGCAGAGCCAAGAAAGAACCTGGGACTCCTGACCTGCCCAGCCTCTCTGGAGGGACAGGGCCGAGCGTGAGATGAGCCTCTCCCGTCGGGCGTCGGTCTGCCAGGCTTGGCCCTGCCGAGGGAGCCATCACGGGCGGGTGCCAACCTCACGCTCACCCGTGCACCTGCCCTGGGGGCTCCCCACATGGACGCCTGTGAGCAAGCCCGGGAGGCATGTGTGCAGCTGTGTGCTGGGGTCCCTCCTCTCCCTAGGCTGCCCTGCAGTTTGGCGAGGACCCCTTCCCAACCTGCCTTCCCCGGGGCCTCTGGCCTGGGAAGGCCCAAGCCACACCCTGGGCTGGGCATATCTCCCACCCGCTGCTTCTAAGTGGGTAGGAGAAAGCACCTCGGAGTGAAAGCTCCATCCCTGCCTTAGAAGACATGCTCCCCTTACTTTTCTCCTTGTCCCTGGTGGCCGCTAGGTCCCCTTTCGGGGGTCCAGTGACCCTAAGAGCCTGCAGAGAAGCCCTGCCAGAGGACCTGACTCCAGCCTCTCTCGTTCCTGGCTTCTGGTCTCCCCCTCCCTGCCCCCGCCCCCACTCCCAGCGCCACCTGGACCACACAGTGAGCTGGGCCCAGGGGCCTCTGTGACTCCCTTGCCTGGGGACAGGGACGCTGGCCAGGGGGAGGAGCTCTCAGGGTAGCCACCGTGGTTGGGGGTTGGCTGAGCTAAGTCCTTTCTAGGGACAGGTTCATTCTGACATTCCGGTGGCCCTCTGACCCTGTGAGGGAGGTGTTCTTAATACCCCCACCTTAGAGTCAGAGAATCAGACACCGAGAGGCAGGGTGACTTGCCCGAGATCATCCAGTTAAGTGGCTGAGCTGGAATTCAAAGACAGGCCTGTCTGACTCTCGGGCAAGTGTTTCCCTCCAGAAAAGGGAAGAGCTACAGTACTTTCTCCCTCCAAGGAGGAGATGAGGGATTAGGGGCAGGGAGAGAGGAGGTGGGAGGTGTGGGGAGGGAGGGCCGGGCAGGGTGTTACGCAGGGGTGACGCTTTTTCTCCCAGGCCTCCCCACTACCTTCCACGTCTTCCAGGTATGCCCACTACGGTCATCTCACCCACAAGACACGGCAGGGCTTCATTTCCACCTTCCTAAAGCCACATAGGAACTGTCACTCCATAAAGCACATGTCCTGATGTCCCCTGGACTTGCCCTTGTCCTCCAGCTTGGACTTCCCCAGTGCCTCCAGAACTTAGGGGGCGTCATCTCACCGCTGAGTCCCAGCCTCAGCCTCATGTTTTTTATCCTCTCCTTTCCAGCATCCAGGGCAGCAGTGGGCTCCCTTTGTCCAAGGAGGTGGCCACCTGCATGGGTAGCAGGGCCACAGGCTGGGGCAGTCCTGATGGCAGAAGTGAGCAGGCAGGCTGGCTGACCGCAGGCAGCCTCTCAGCGCCAGCATGAGCTCCCGGACCCCGCCTGCCAGGGGCTGGTTCAGCGCCCGCCCGCCCGCCTCTGAGCCTGACCTCGAGCCTCCCACAGACGGGCCAGCCACTGCAGCCACCACCCTCAGCCCAGAAGCCACCAGCTTTAATGGCACCAGAATGCCTGACGTGGGTGGCGGCACAGCCGGCGTGGGCACGATGCTCCTGTCCTTCGGGATCATCACGGTGATCGGCCTGGCCGTGGCCATGGTGAGAGGGGGCCGCTGGGGCGGACCCGGACGGCCTGCGCTTGCAGGAGGGCGGTCTGTGTTCGGCTCCGAGAGGCTCTGATCAAAGGCGGCTGTCTGTTACTGGTCGTGCCACCCTCCCTCCCCCAGGGATTTGTCCACTGGGGCCCAGAGGCCAGCGAGGCTGCCTCCCAGCGGAAGAGCCAGAGAAGTTTCCGAGGAATACGTGGTGCTTTAAGCTGGGCCGCAAGGGCCACACGGGAGCTGGGGAGAATGGGGTTTTCTAGGGGGAGGTTCCTGGTGGGCACAGGGCAGGAGGCCGGCAGAAGGCTATGCGAGCCACAGGCAGAGCAGGGAGGCACACGCGTGTGGGGCGCAACAGGAGTAGAGGCCAGAGGTGCTTGGCACGGACCGCGGGCTGCGGAGTCTGGTGGGATGCCCTGCGAACGGCAGGCTGCCGGCAGCTCGCCTGCATTCCTTCGCCTGGCAGTTACCCGCCGGCTGCCTGCCCCAAGTCAAGCCTTCAGAACCCCACGGACTAGGGCCTTCCACAGGGAGTGGGAGACATGAAACCACAGCACCAAGGGAAGCCCGTGGGGACTGTGCTGGAGAATTGGATGGGGTGGGGGGGCTTTCTAGCAACGTTAGAGCTGAGGCCTCAGGGTGGGGGTCTGGCCCAGTGTCAGGAGGAAACGCAGAGCCGGGCAGGCAGCAGGGCAGAGGCGTGCTGGGTGAGGGCGCCGGCACACAGGATGCTTCCACACCTGGTGCCCGCACTGAAGATAGAGCTTTCCCTCCAGGGTGACACATGGGCACCCAGAACGACACCGAGGGATCACTGGAGATCACGAGCCTGAGACAGGGAAGGGTGGGGGCGCCCCCGAGGCCCCCCCGCGGGCCTGGCCATGGTGGCACTCTTCCCACTGCCCCGCAAAGGCTCTGGTAGATGGCCTCAGCTCAGGAACATGTTGCTCTGCCGAGCAGGGCTACGGCTGGTCCATCCATGGCCTGCTTGGAGCTGCTGTTAAACCAGTCACCATATGGGCTCCATGGGCGCCGGACCACTGCCAAGGAATAACTGCTGGCCAGCAAACAGAGCCAGCATGCCTCACGCCGAGGGGGGCCGGGGCCTGAGCGGCCTCCTAGGGCAGGCAAGGCAGAACACCCATCCCCGCCCTTTGCCCCCCTGGGGCGGTTAGACAGACAGAGACACCCCAACCTCGGGGGCCAACAGGGCCTGGACTCTGCCCATGTGATTCTCCACAAAAGATTTCATCCTAGGAACGTCAGAGGACTCGCTTACCCTCGGTTCTGGGGGAGCAGTCAGAGGGCCAGAATGGTTAGCCTTCTTGCCAGAAGCAGAAAGGGAGGGGGGTTACGGGGCAAAGGCATTACTGGGCTCCTGGGCACCGGGAGGTGGGGCCAGAGATGCTCCCTCCTCATGCCAGCCCCAGCTGGCCACGCTGGGGACACGGAGGAGCAGATCAGTGCCAGGTTGTGAGTCTCACACAGGAGAAATGGTGGCGGAGGACTTCCTGGAGGAGGTGGGGCTGCTGCTAGACAGTGAGAAGGGGAAGACCTGTAAAGGAGATATGAGGGGGCGGGGGGAGGGGAGATGTCAGCAGACCGGGCAGAGGGAACAGCCGTGGAAAGGTGCGGAGACAAGGTCCCGGCCTCTTGGAGACTCTTCTGTCTCCCAGGGCAGGGGGGCAGGTTTGGGGCAGGGCTGAGAGGTGAGGGAGTATAGGGTGCTGGGATTGCATCCCACCACAGGAGAGCAAGGGGCACCGCCTGGAGGAAATAAGGGAGGCAAGGGGCACCTCAGTGTCTTCCCAGGCCTTTGGGGTCCCCCAGGAGCGAGCAGCAGGAGGAGCTCTGGGTCAGTCTGGAAACCAAACAAGATTCAAGCTATAAACAGGCCAGAAAGAGTACGAAGGCCACAGGCGGTTTGGGACGGGCTCCAGAGACGTGGCTGTCCCCCAGGCAGAAGGTCATGCTCCTGGTAGTCAGAAACAGCTGGTTTAGGGAAGAACAAGATGGTGGCAGGGATCCCTGGCGTCCCTTCCTGGAAGGCACGCCCTCCCTCCCTCTTTTAGTACCAGGATTTCCTGTTCCAGCCCAGAGCTCTCGGATCTCGGACATTTTCTCGGGCTGGTCAGGCCTTTATCTTCAAGTCTGTACAGCGGAGTTCAGGGCCCGGGGGTCTTCCTGCATTCCCCCTGCATCAGGGTGCTGGAGTTTGGTCTGGGCTGATGTCCAGTGGCTCAGGCCCCTTTCCCAGTCCCTGTCCAACGAGGGCCACCAGCCTCCCTCGGAAGCCTCGGACAGACAGGCTCCCAGAGCCCCTGCCTGTCTCCTGGTTTTTTTGCCCATTCGTGTCTCTGGGCCTGAGGAGAGTTGAGTGGAGGAGGGACGCTGAAGTGTCCCCTCCCCCTTCAGCCCTGAGGAGTCCCCAGGGGAGCTGAGTGCCCGGAGCCTCAGGCAGTGTGGGCAGAGGTGGGGCCCACAGCCCTGAGGCTGGACCGGACTGTGTGGTCTTTCCCAGGCAGGGCTCCTCAAGGATGCTGTCAGCATCTAATACACTGCAAAGGGGGGGGGGGGGCGCAATGCAAGACCTATGGGTCCCTGAGGACTTGGGGACCCAAGGTCTCCTGTCATCAGCCTCAGCATGTCCCCTGTCCCGAGGGACTAGGGTCCATCAGGGTCTCCTTTCCTGGCCATTTGACGCTGCTCCTTCTCTTGCAGGTTTTGTACATCAGGAAGAAGAAGAGGTAACTCCCCTGCTTCCTCCCTGAACGGGCGGCACCGGGCCGGGCTCCCGGGGGCATGGGCGGGAAGGGAGAGCCCCGCCGTCAGCGCCCCGCCCCTGGTGGGGGGGTCAGGGCCCATCTGCACACTCAGGGTTGAGGGCCGCCCCTTTCGCTCAAGGACGGTCGAACCCCACTCCCAAGGAGTCCCCCCCCAGGGAAGGCAGGAGTGACCCCGAGACTGGGGTGGGTGAGGAGAAGAGGAGAAGGTTGGATCAGCTCCTACCAACTGCCTGGCCAGCCTTGCCCTGCTGCCCTGAGCTGGCTGCCTCTGGCGCCCCTCCCCTCGCCCGGCTGCCCTGACTGAGGCAGCTTCATGGACCCCCACAGGTGACAGCTGTGCACGTACCCCTCTCAGGCCACCTGTCTGAGAGGTACTGCTGGTCAAAAATGGCTTTCATTGAGTCCCAGGGGAAACAGGCTCCTAAGTGGGGTTGCATGCCATGACCCCTCTGGGCTGCCAACGGCAGGGCCTGGAGGGCTGGTGGCAAGGAAGGGCCTGCCCTGCCCCACGCAGCCTCTGCACACACCCCCACCCCCAGGCTGGAGAAGCTCCGCCACCAGCTCATGCCCATGTACAACTTCGACCCCACGGAGGAACAAGACGAGCTGGAGCAGGAGCTGCTGGAGCACGGGCGGGACAACGCCTCCGCGCCAGCCCCGCCGGGCAAGGTGGGCACCGCCGGCTGCGCTCCGCCTGCAGCCACTGCGCACCCGCTCCGGGCCCCTCCCTCTCCCTTCCTTGCAAGGCCAGGCCAGGGCAGCCCGGCAGCCAGCCAGGCTCGGCCCCATAGCCTGGCCGTCCTGGAAGCCCCCCGGCCTCCCTGAGCCTCAGTCATCTCATGCAAATGAAAATCCCCATTCTTTCCCTGGCTGCCCAGTGTACTCACCAGAAAAGCAGGAGAGGGCTGATAGGACAGGTGTTGGGGGCGGAGCCTCTGGCCTCCTCTGCCCTATTAGGGCCCGCAGCCCTGAGTGGGTGGTGGTTTGGGCCACTTGGGACAGTGGCACCTCTGAGTAGGCTGATGGGTTCCTAGTAACTGACAGGCCCCAGGCAGGTAGAGACCCAGCCAAACTCGCCTCCTCTGCCCAAAGGGTTGGGTGCCTGTGTGTTCATGCTGCCAAAGTCATTGGCTGCCTGGCCACGTGCCAGCAGTCCCCAAAACCCCAAGGGCCAGAGTACCATTAGGAGGCCCGGTGTCCCCCTGACGCGTGAAGTCCCTTTGCATCCCTCCTTCCCTTGGCCCCACAGGTTGCTGGGGTTTGGGGGGCTGGGTTCTGGCTCTACCAGAGGCAGAATTAGGAGAGTAGACTCAGGAAAGGCCAGGCCGGGCAACCAGAGACCCCCTGGTTTTGCCACCTTTTTCTGTACCTAGATCGCAACACGCTGCCCCTTGGGATAGTCAAGAAATTGGGCTGAGGACCTCAGTCCAGCCAGCCCAGGGGACGACGGACCACTTGACAGTCGTCTTCCGTGTGCCGCCCTTGGGGCCGCTGCGGCGCTGGGCCTCGGGTTACAGGGGCGAGCCCCACCCTGCTGGGCGGCGGGGAGCCGGCACAGTTCCCCCAGCCCGGGGCTCACAGGGTGAAGGCTGCCAGCGCTGGCTGGGCACGGCCGTGGGGGAGGAGTCTCCTGAGCCCGGTGGCATTTCCAGGCTGAATTTGCAGGGAGGGCATTCCCGGTAGAAGGCGTAGTTGGTGCCAAGAGCAAGTGGTCCCCAGGAAGCGAGGATGGAGCTGACCGGGTCAGAGAGTGCACGGCCGGGGCCGGGGCCCCTGACGCCCTGACTGTCCTTCTGCAGACCACCCTCCCGTCCCAGGGCCCGCTGCAGAGGCCCAGCCGGCTGGTGTTTGCCGACGTAGCCAATGCCATCCACGCGTGAGTGGCCCAGGGGCAGGCCTGGACCTCCAGTGAAGACACCTGCCTCCGCACCCACCGAGCGGCCTATTCTCAGGACTTACCCTGCCGAGGCCCCGGCTGTCCCCTGCACCGCCTGCTGACTCTCCAGGCTGGGCCTCTGGCCCCTGACGTCCCCTGACGTAAGGGTCCCAGCGCAGAGGACGTTCCTCCTGCCAGGAAGGTCGAGAGCCACTGCTGGCTTCCCTACGTCCTACCCCGACCCCTCCCATAGGGGCCTGCCCTCTGATGTGGAGGGGATGGGAGAGGCACAGGATGGGAGAGGAGGGGAAGAGCGTTGGGAGAGGCCTGACCTCGGAATCCGGAGCCTCCTCTGGGGTGGGAGAGGTAACCACCTAGGTCTCGGGGACAGAGTGTGGTGGCAGCTGAAACTACCCGGTGGGCAAGGATGCTGGGAGGAGGGCCACTCACAGCCAAAGCAGGCCCATGGTGCACAGGGTCCACGGGGTCTCCCGGCCACTGTGCCTTGGCAGCCAGCTGTCACAGGGCCCAAAGGAGGGTGGCAGCTGAGGGGGAAGGAGCATGGAAGTCAGGGGACAGAGGCAGGGCCCAGACCCGTGGAAAGGCCTCTTGCACGTGCATGAACCTGCCCACGCACAGCCGAGGGCCTGTCCCGGCACTGGGGGCAGGAGGCAGACCCTCTGCACTGGCTCCGCCCTCAAGTCGCCCAACACCCCAGGGTGTGTGGAGGGGTGCAGGGTGTCTTCAACATTCAGGGGCTGACGGGAGAGGGCAGGAAAAAGCGCAGGAACCGCTGCCCCCTCGCCTCTTCACGGGGCGCTGAAAGCCAGGAACCTGCTTCTGCAAAGAGCTCCCTGTCTTGCCGGATAGATACAGGGGATCTGGGGCGAGGGTGGGGGGTGGCTACTGGGCTGAGAGCTGAGGTCACAGGCTGTGGGCAGGCAGGGGATGTTCTGACCGCCTAAAGTCGGGTGGGGATGGCCCCTTAGGAAACAGACCTAAGAAACCTGGTCTGTTTTTCGATCATAACGCCCACCCACCCAGGGTCCACCCACTCCATTCCTCTCAGGAATTCCCCCGGTCCGGGGATCTGGGCAAGGCCTTAGCCAAGCCAGCCCCCAGGAGCAGTCGGGGGTGCATGCGCCGGGGTGTGCCCAGAAGCACCTCCCCGTGCCCGGCCTCGCCACTGCGCTGTCCTCCGCTGGTTGGAGGGGACGTGGGGGCGGCGAGTACTTGTCTTCTCTTGGGCAAATACCACGTGTCAGGATGTGAGGGCCTAGGTGGCCCACGTGGGGAAGATTCTGGATGTGTCCCCTCCTCTGGATGCTATAAATAGGGTGTCACTTGAACGGACCGGAGGGCTGCGGGTAATTTAGGATGCACGGAAGCTGTGATTTAACCCACAGCACCTTCTTGTGAGAGCATTAAAGATGTTATTAGGATGTTCCTGTGAAGAGAGTGTGAGCCTGTGACTCCTAGTGTGAACCTCCAGGAGGGGGGCGGGGCGGGGCGGGACAGGTAGGTGCTGGGACCCCCCTGCGCCGCCACGGCTGCCCTCTTGGCTTTCCTTGACCCACCTGAGGCAATGGCCTCCAGCCCTAAGTTCAAGGCCGCTCTGGGGCCTCAGGCATCCACTGTGGAACAGGTCACGGTCCCTTCCATCCCCTTGCGGGGAGGTGCCCTCGTACACAGGACCTGAGGACGGAGGACGCTTGAGCCCCCAGGGCGAGGGGAAGGTGTGGCATCTCAGGACACATGGGAGCTGGGTCTGAAACACGAAAGCAACAGAATAGTGTGGTCTTTCCCAGAGCACAAGGGAGGGATGAGCGTGGGCAGCCATAAGGCTGTGTGTGGGGGACCCACCTTCAGGGTCCGAAGAGTTTGGGGTGGGGGAGAATGACAGGGAAGTCACCGGCCATCCTGGGGTCCCCAGGGCTGCCCCAAGTTTAGCATTACAAGTCCCCCACACCAGGACTTTACGTGACCAGGACCTTCCCTCGAGAGCTACCGGTAAGCCTTCAGGCCAACAGGAGTGACAATGAGGAGGTGAGCCCCCCGGTGCCATGGTGGAGGCCTGGGCTGGAGGTGGGGGCTACAGGACAGGGCCTCGGGTAAGGGCGAGGGCCCCAAGCCCACCCCTGGGCCACCCTCACTGGGGCCAGACAGCTGGGCCTGTCAGTGACAACCCTGGACTTAGGGGAGAGTCTTCCATCTGTGACTGGGCAGGATTCCTGAGGGACCGAGGGGCCAGAGGAGGGGAGGGTAGACTGGCCACTCCCGTTTTGTGGGGTAGCGCCTTGGCCCAAGAATGTGGAAGCTGAAGAAGACCCAATGTCTGGGGGACCCTAAAAATGGGGTGCCAAGTAAGGCTGGTACCAGGGACAGGGATGGGGCCACGGAAGACCCCTCCCCATTCTTTCCCACAGCCTGCCCCCTGCCCCTTTCTCAGTGGGTGGGCTCGGCTAGGTGGTGGACACAGGGCAGCTTTCTGTGGGTGCCAGGACCACTTTGCTGTCCCTTGTCCATTCACAGTCACCTCCTCTTTCCTTCCACCCACTCTGTTTTCTAGCTCTTGCCCAGTCCCGGAGGAAAACCAAATTCCCCACAGGTTCCCGGGTCTCCCACACAGTGTGGGATTAATAAATATGAAAGGGATGGAAGGCTCTAGGTGACATGTCCTTCTGTGACCTTGGGCCTGGCGGGCTGACGGGAACTCCCCTCACTGCCAGGCAGAGAGAGCGAGGCAGGGCTGCCCCCGCGTGCCAAGGCTGCTTCTGAAACTGACGGGTAAAGGGGCCCCTCGGGAAATGCCCCCACGAAACCTGCACACACACATCAGAAGCACAACCCCGCCCCCGGAGCAGCGAGCAGGGCTCCCAGGCAGGAGCCGAGGCGGGCGCAGCACAGGATCCGGGTGGACGTGGGCGGGCGCTTTCAGAAGAGGTCATCTTGTCTCATAACGTGAAGTGTCACCTTCCTGCCGATGTGAACGCGATCGTCCCGTTGTCTGGCTGCAGGCAGACGCCGGGGATGCCTTCAGAATGTAAAGGCAAGTCCTTGTGGGGGAGCCCAGGAACTCCAGTAGAGCAGCCTGACCTTGACGTGAATTCCTTCCAGAAGCATCACCGAGCCCTGCTGCGGCACAGCACGGCTGTCCTGTCCGCGAACCGCCAAGCCTCTGTACCTCCGTTTGAGATGGAAGGAGACAGACGTCAAAAAGGAAGAAAGGATGAGGGTGTGCAAGGTCACATGTGTGCTGTGTGTGTACACACAGTTGCCTCCGTATCTGTATCTTCATACCTGCATCTATCGCTGCCCCTTGGTATCCACAGGAGATTGGCCCCACAGCTATCGCTGAGACCAAGGTCCACGGGTGCTCAAGTCCCCTAGGGAAAGCAAGGTAGTGTTTGTAAATGACAGGCGCGTCCTCCCTGTACTTTAAATCATCCGTAGATTACTTATAATACCTAATACACTGTAAATGCCATGTAAATAGCTATTACACTGTATTGTGTAGGGAATAGTGACCAGAAAAATAATCTGTATGTGCTTGGTACAGAAGCAGGCATCCTAGGCCTAGCTACAAAGTACACATCGGCAGCAAGGTAACTTTTTTGCAACAGCGTAACTTTTTCGAATGCTTTTGATCCAGGGTTGACTGAATCCCTGGGTATGGAACCCGCAGGCGGGGAGGGGGGAGCTCGACAGTATGTGAAGAAGAAAGGGATGGGGTCCAGGTGTGCCTGGGGGGGTTCAGAGGTGGAGGGCAGACACCCCCACCTGTCCCCCTGGCAGCGCCTCACAGCGGGCCCCAGTGTGGAGGGCCTTGGCTGAGGATGCCGGGGAACCAGGAGCCGCCAGTCTGGCCTCCCGTCCTGCCTGGCCTCCCGGGGCTCAGGATGCGGGCAACAGCCGGCAGGGCATCTCTGGTCACGCGGAGGACAGTCTGAGGGGCTGGGGATGCTGAGGAAGGAGCCCAAGTGTGCGAACCCCAGGAGCAGGGAGAGGAGGAGGAGGAGGGGCAGGGCGGGCACGGAGAGCCTCAGGTGGGTGGGCAGGCGGGCGCATCTGTCGACTCCAGGCTGCCATCCCGGCCAGGAGGCCTGCCCTTGGCGCCTTCCTCACCCCTCCTCAGAGCTCCTCAGCAGTGGCCCCTGCCCCACCTTTTACCCTGGGAGATCAGGGCAGGGTCCGTGCTCCACAGAGGGAGACACCCTTCCCCCTACACACACACCTTTGGGCGCTAGGAAAAGGGCCGGCAGAATGTAGGGGGAGCAACAAGAAGCAGGTTGGTCTCCGCGTGCAGGAAACCTCGGCTGCTCCGCCCAGCAGGGGCCGTGGCAAGCGGCCTTGGGTTACCTCAGGGGCCAGATCTGGCCGTAGTAGCGCTTACCCTCCATCCGTGCGGTCCCAGCACAGCCTCACTTTACCCTAGTGCCCTTTGCAAGGGCAGACCGCCACCCATCTTGAAGAGATCCTCCATCGAGACGCTGGGGTCACTTGGCTCAGAGCCAGGGACTCCACCTTTCTTCTACACAATTCCAGAAAGGAGCATCAGGCAAGCCCTAGAAACAGCAGGGTGCTGGGGGGTGCCCTTGGCTCCCCAGTCCTCCCTCCTCCAATGCCATCCGTGCTGCCATCTGTTGGCAGCTACAGGCACTGCAGGGACCCTGCCTTCCCTCCCATCCGCCTCAGGCCCATCCTCAAATCCCACCCTGCCCTCCGCCTCCCCCCCCTCCCGCCCCCATTGGTTCAGACAGCGGCCCTCACGCCACCAAAGGCCCTGACATGGGTCTCACCTGGCAGGACGGGGAACAGGAGGAGGCGGTGCTCAAAACGTAAGAAGCTGCTCAGTCAGGCTGAAGCCTCACTCACACCGGCCTGGGCGCGGTGCCTCCTTCAATGTGCCCCCTTCAATGTGCCCTGCGTGTCTCACTCGCCTCGCCCTCGTCCCGGCCTGCCACCGAGGCCCCTCTGGGCCGGGACCCAGCAGGCAGAGCCCCAGCCCACTGTCACACCGGCTCCAGAAGGCCAAGCGTGGAGAGTGCGGGGGGGGGGGGCCCTGACCTGGCCGAGATGCTGTTTACCTGAAGGAGGCTGAGAACACCAGGTTAGCAGAGACTTGGGGACTTAGTAGTGACTTGATAACAGGTCAAGAAGGTGACACTCTAAAGCCCTGGGTGGGGGAGGAGGGCAGGATTCCCGCTACAAATCCCTGTGTGCGTGAGCCGCCTGGGGCGCTGGCAGGCGGGATAGGAGCCCATTCACCCCCAGCTGCCCCAGAGCGCAGGCGCCGCTGTGCCCTCACATTACAGATGGGGACACTGAGGCAGGGAGCAGCAGTGGCGGGGCCCGGGTATGGCACGAAGGGGGCTGCCCCCAGAGCTCACGTCCAGGACTCCCGAAGAAGCAAAGCGCGTGCTCCGGAGACGGAGCTGGCCGCCCCTGTGACCGCTCACTCATTCCCTTTGAGGCTGAGGGGCAGCCGGGGGGGCTGGCCTTGGAAGAGTCCCTCGCGGTGTAAGAGCAGAACAGTGGCCCCAGCAGCAACAACACACCCCTCATGGGAAGCAACAAGAGTTACAGGCAGGTGAGGGGAGCACCCAGAGGGGGTACCGCCCTGCTGGCTGCGGGCACGGCGAGGCTCTCACTGTGCTGAGCCTCGCCCTGCTTTTGGACACCAGTGACGGGGGACATTTCAGGCTGAGCAGGGGGCAAGACATAGGGACGATGGGCTTCCTCCCAGCCAGGACGCTAGCGATGGCGATCTCACCAGGTGACCCTGCACACGCGGAGAGCCCACATTGCACAAGGGCAGCAGTGTGCGCCACACACACCCCGCCTGGGTACTGGGCACCTCCTGTCTGCCAGGCTGGGGTTGGTGGGGGGCGGGTCTGTCAGACACTGCTCTTCGAGAATCCCCAGGCCAATGGTGCTGCCGGATGACTCCAAAGAGAGACCACACCCCTTTCCACCCCTTCCAGAAGGACCCAGGAGGTCTGTTCCCACCCCCACGTGATGACCTTCCCACACCTGTGGATGGAGCGCACCCAATTTGCCTTAGTGGCGCCCTTCCCAATGTGACCACCAGGTGGCAGTGCAGGCCCGGGCTATGGGGTAGGGTGGTGGCGGGGCGTGCCCTGGGTGAAATTTGGCCTTGAGGCCTCTTCAGGAGCCTGGGTGGCTGGTGCACGGAAGCTGTTGGCTTCCTCCCCGCCAGGAGCAGGTCTGGGCTGGGGCTGGGCCCGGGCGGGGGCCCTGAGCCTCCTGAATGGAGTCCAGTGTGCAGTGGCTGCTCGGGGCAGTTTATTGAACGGAGGATTGATAAATGGGTCTCGCCTCATGTGTATTAAGTGAGTTCATACATAAAAAGCACATGGAGAGACTTTGTTTAATAAGTGTATGCAGTTTCTGATATTTTCTTAAGTGGAATGGTTC